CTAATCAATTATATACTACAAGTTCTCTCTGTCCTTATTGATTGCCTACTTGATCTTTGAAAATCCAAGGAAGTTATTAAAATCTTCCATGAAAATTTTATTTCTAAAATTTCCCCTCATGAGATAGTTTGGTTTCATGTGTTTTAGTGATGTTATCTGATGACAAAGCTTTATCATGACTAGTTTATATTCTTTGTGAATTTTGTAATAAAAAATAAACTTTTTCTTCCTCATTCAATGTTACTTGGCTTTGAATAAACTTTTTCATGAATTCATTTTGCTACCCCTTCTTGCTTACCTTGTGTATTTGTATGTCTTTTATTTTTAACCTTTCAATGTCATTTTGTGTTAGACATGCATTTTGTAAAGAATATTCAGCCGAATATTGTTGTTTAACCAAACTAAATTTCTTTTGCCAATAACAGATGGAATAATAGTCAAATTAAAAAAGCTTCCATCCTAACATGAGCTTGGATTTTCTTTAATAAATTTTGGTTGCCTTTGGCAGAAGGCAATGGGGCAGAGCTACTCCTGATTTAATCCTTGGGCTGTGGTGTTAGACCGTGACCCAAAAGTGAATTCGGGTTGGGTGTGTCCTCTCCTTGTGTGAACTGGCATCATTTGAGTGGGCCCTAAAGCCATTATAAACTGAGAAAACCAGTAAAACTATTAATACTTGTCTGCACAAACGTAAGTATGAAAGACAGAGCACAAAGAATTAGCTACTCAGGATATCAACATACTTAACATATAGGTTTTTAATTATTGATAATAAAAATTAGTACACCAGAAGTAACTGGCAATATGGTTCACAAATTTTAAAACGTCATGAGGAAAAAAAGGGGGGAATGTTTCATTTCCAATCTTATCCAAAGAAACTGATTTCTCAGTAAAAAAAAAAAAAAGGAACAAAACCATTCTAAAACAATCTAATATGCCAAAAATGATATTAAAATAATTAACAGTGCAATGAAATGACCTGGAAAAATTATTATCTCACTTGTAATGCTGCCTGACAGTGTTAAGGACAGCACATACAGACCTGGAGCCAAGTGGATTTTGCCTTTTAAATGGGTTTCTTGACTATAGTTAATAATGTTATATTGCATAATGGAAATTTGCTAAGAGAATCTTAGGTTCTCCATATACACACACACGAAAAGG